GCCCGAATTGTGAACTGTCGAGCGACCCCTCCCGCTTTTCGCCCAAAAGCAGGTAGCTGTCTGGCGGGATGACCCCGTTGTATTCGGCTTCATATAGCCGCAGCATCGACGCGCGAGCGACATCCAGACGGTACGCAATGTCCGAACTGTTCCTGATTTCGGCATCGTTCACCAGGACGCCGCCATCGTCCGTAACGGACCAGCGGTCCCCCGGCTCGGCCGCGACGACCTTCGCCAAGGGCACGCTTTGAGCACCGCTGACGAACAGGCACGCCGCCAAAAACCCGACGGTGGCCGCACAAAGGGCCAATCTGAAACAGCTCAACCGTTTACCATGACGTACCGAATCAAACCCTTGAACAGAAAAACTCACTACCCTCTCCCCGATTTATTGTTCTTTGTTGATCTTTATGGGGGCGAGCAAAAATGACTGACTGCCGTTGCGCTGACAGGCATCCCTCACGTTATCCACCGGCATCTCTTTGATTGCTGGGAAGTTCAACAATCGCGGTGATCTTGAAACCGCAGCGGCTTGGATAATCCCGCTGGAACAAGCGCAATGCGTCGTCCAGCGACCGCGCACGAACCTCAATAAGGCGACTGTCCGCCCACCCGTCGTCGAAGCCGGTGTCGTTGATATCCCCCGCATCAACGAGAGAGCGGACTTTGGCGTTGTAGATTCGAGCCTCAAAACGTCGAATCTCGGTTACGTTGTTCTTGAGTTTTAGATTGGCAAGCACGCCGAAAATCTCCTTCTTTGAAGGCTTATGATGCAGGGCGTGAATTGGCAGAATGACAGGGTGGAGGCCGCCTATGCGGAGGCCTCGGTGATGTCGGCGGGTTGCAGGCCACCGAGGAAGTCGGTGGCCTTGGCCGCTTGGCTGGCGGCGGTGAAAATGGCCTTCTTGTCGGCCTTGAGCACCTTGACCCAATGGTCGATTAGGCGGCGTGGTCGGGACGCGGGGTGAGCGTCACGCCAAGGTCGGCGCAGAGGAATGCCGCTGGAACAGGCACAATGCCTCGTCTAGCGACTGAGCGCGGACCTTGATGAAGCGGCTGTCCGCCCATCGGTCGTCGCCAATCTAAAGATCCGCGGGATTGGCGTATTCTTGAGATTGCTCAGGGGACGTCAGCAAAGTTTTTGCGCACACCGCCATAAGACCTTGCACATAGAAACATCCGCTCTCAGGGGCTTTATAGTTTGAAATCTGATAGCGCCTTCACCGGCGGATAACCTCCTTTTCGACGTGCACTCCTTCAAAAAAACATCAGGGAGCCAAGCGCAGAAATGCGCTTGGGTAATTCATGTTGAAGTATGTGTTCGCTCTAATCACGNNGCCCTTTGCTTTGAGGTCGGCCGCTATTGGGGATTCGATTCCGTGGTCGCCTTTGGGGGCGTCACCGTCTTCGTCTGGTGTCTTGTTCTGGCACAGATGATTCTCAAACTGGACAAGCGGCTTGCCATCTCCGCCCTCGTAGTCACAGCCGTGTCATCGGCCGGTGTGGCGGGCGGTTTCGCTCATGGCGTTGCAGAAGCGCACGCTGGGCACTGGGCGATGATGTATGCAGGCGAGATGGTCGCGAGCTTCGTCTATGGCGTTATGATGCTGGCCGCTATCGCAGGCGTCCTTGCTTCGTTCGTCGGCACACTCATCTCGCTTTTCGGAGCCGCGTTCATCCTAAACGAATACCTCTGTCTCAAATGAGGC